CATCCTTTCGTTTCTCAGACTTTCTGATCTGATCATTTTTAATTTCTTAAATTCTATTCGTCTTTGCTCCTGAAGTTGTATAATTACAGATTTCTTCAGTCCTTTGATCCTTTGATTCTAGGATTCATTCATTCAGTAAATACTTATCAGACCTCTGTTCCGTTCCAGATATCAAGGATACAGAGAGAACAAAAATATGAGAATCTCGCCTTCAGAAAAACCACGTTTACTGAGCGCTCGTTACATATCAGGCTCCATGCCAGGTGCATACATGGACATCACCTACCTGGTGCATTACAGACTTCTATTATCCCTGTTATTCAAATGAGGAAACTGAGACACAGGGTTCTGGACTCCCTTGCTCCCTAAAAGTATGGGATCCTTTCTTTCTTTATTTTTCTCTTTCTTTCTTTCTTTCTTTCTTTCTTTCTTTCTTTCTTTCTTTCTTTCTTTCTTTCTTTCTTTCTTTCTTTTCTCTCTTTCTCTCTCTCTCTTTCTCTCTCTCTCTTTCTCTCTCTCTTTCTCTCTCTCTCTTCCTCTCTTCCTCTCTTCCTCTCTTCCTCTCTTCCTCTCTTTCTCTCTTTCTCTCTTTCTCTCTTTCTCTCTTTCTCTCTTTCTCTCTTTCTCTCTTTCTCTCTTTCTCTCTTTCTCTCTTTCTCTCTTTCTTTCTTTCTTTCTTTCTTTCTTTCTTTCTTTCTTTCTTTCTTTCTTTCTCACTCTGTTGCCCAGGCTAGAGTGCCGTGGTGTCAGCCTAGCTCACAGCAACCTCAAACTCCTGGGCTCAAGCGATCCTCCTGCCTCAGTCTCCTAAGTACCTGGGCCTACAGGCATGTGCCACCATGCCCAGCTAATTTTTTCTATATATTTTTAGTTGTCCACCTAATTTGTTTCTATTTTTAGAAGGGACGGGGTCTCGCTCTTGCTCTGGCTGGTCTCAAACTCCTGAGCTCAAACGATCCTCCCACCTCGGCCTCCCAGAATGCTAGGATTACAGGCGTGAGCCACTGTGCCTGGCCTCTAGAATTCATTGCGCCTAAGATCCTAGGATTCTAGAATTCTTTGTTCTTAAGACTCCCACATGCTTGGATTCAAGTAGACAGTGGATGTAGGAAAAGGTGCTCAATCTGGTTATTGATCCAGGAAATGCAAATTAGAACCACCATGAGATTCCAATACACACAGACACACGGACACACAGACACACACACACACATATCAGGATGACTCATATTTAAAAGTCTGGTAGATCCAGTGTCTGCAAAGACACGGGTCAAGGAGAACTCACAGCAGACATTGGAAGTAGGAGTGAAAATTGGCACAACCACATGGGAAAACCGTTTGGCCATATCTTCTCCAGCTAGACACCCTAGGACCTAACAATTCCACTCTTGGATAATGCTGGAAAATGTGCGCTCATGGGCACCAGGAGATGAAGGCAGCCTTGGTCAAGAGAGTCAGACACTGGAAACCACTCACATGCCCACCAACAAAGAATGGAGTAATAAACTGTGGTATATCCACGCAAACGAATACTACACGGCAATGAAAAATGAACCCACTTCAACAGGTACAAGAATATGACTGAACCTCATAGACATAAAATTGAGGCAAAGAAGCCAGATACAAGAGGTTGTACTACAAAACTCCCTTATTGAAAATCCAAGGCCAGGCGCGGTGGCTCACGCCTGTAATCCTAGCACTCTGGGAGGCCGAGGTGGGCGGATTGCTCTAGGTCAGGAGTTCAATACCAGCCTGAGCAAGAGCGAGGCCCCGTCTCTACTATAAATAGAAAGAAATTAATTGGCCAACTAATATATATAGAAAAAATTAGCTGGGCATGGTGGTGCATGCCTGTAGTCCCAGCTACTTGGGAGGCTGAGACAGGAGGATCGCTTGAGCCCTGGAGTTTGAGCTAGGCTGACGCCACGGCACTCACTCTAGCTTGGGCGACAAAGCGAGACTCTGTCTCAAAAAAAAAAGAAAATCCAAGTGCAGTGGCTCAAGCCTGTAATCCCACCACTTGGGAGGCTGAGGTGGGAAGATCCCTTGAGACCAGGAATTCAAGGCTGCAGTGAGCTATGATCTTGCCACCTCACCCCAGCTTGGATGACAGAGCGAGAACCTGTCTCTAAAAAAAAGATTAAAAATGTTCAAAATGGTAGTGATCATAGGGAGTAAAAGTATAAAGAAAAGCAAGGAAATTATACCATAAAAGTCAGAATACAGGTTACCTGGGGGTCGGAAGGGAGTTGAGATTCGGAAGAGGCGTGAAGGGGTTTCTGAGGAAGTGGCAACACTCTTTCTTAACCTGTTTTCTTTACAATAGTTTGTGAAATTGAAGATTATATTTTAATTCATGCAATTCCCCAATATTAATATTAATATTTCTTAATTTTAAAGGCTTTTTAAAATCCCACAATTCCAAATCTCTCTGTTCCTCAGATGACTTGGCTCGACAGGGGACAAAAATTTCTGAGCCCCTGCATGGAGTCCGGAGGACGCGGCAGGGGCCCATGAGAAGAGAATTTGGGATCTGAAACACATAACACAATTTGACTTTCCCAGAAGTGGGCAGACGGGCTGTGACTCTGTGTGACCGCAGAGGGCCGGAGGGACCAATTCAGGGGTGATTTCAGGGATGATGTTCAAAGCGGAGGCCACAAGCCAAGCCCCCACCCCCACCTCCTGCAGATGGTGACAATGGTGAGAGCCCATCTAGCCCATTTCTCCCCAGCCGGCCACAGCCAGCCACTCCCCGAGGGCAAATCCACCTCAGCAACACCCAGGCCAGCCTCATACTTTCCGGATGTGAAAACCAAGCCTGCCAGGGGGTTGCTTGGCTGCGAGGCTCCCGTGCCAGGATTTGCTCCCGGCCCACAGCCAGCTGATTCCACGGGGATGAGGCAGGGGACACAGGCCAGCCCCGTCCCCAATATTGTGGGAACATCTTGGAAGATGGGGGTGGCCCTGACTGGGGCAGCAGTTGAGAACAAGGGAGGTGAGTCCATGGTCCCCCCGGCTCAAATGAGGAAGGGCCTGCTGTGACCTTGGCTTTCTCAGGAGCCTGAGGGACTTTTGTGTCTGTATTTTTAGGCCCTGGTGGCCACAGGGGAGGTTGTGGCCTTGGGCGGGGGAGGCACCGACTTCCAGGGAAAAGGCTGGAGTTTCAGGAAAGGTACTGTCCCTTCCTCCTGCACAGGCTCCATGCTCTGCTATGCTGGGGTGGGCTGGGGAAGGGGGGCTCCCAGCTCAACGGGAGAGGCTTGCCCCCACTCAGGGAGTGGCTAGGCTGATGGGGGAGGCATGGTTACCCAACTCAAGGCTCAAGGAGCAGCCACTAATGTGACAAACGAAGCAGACTCCAGCTTGTTCCTAGAATTCATAGTTCCTAGTCCAATGTCGGTGACAAAGCTTAACCTCGTTCTCACAGCGCTCACAGCTGGATGGAGGATTCAAGCTTTAGGACTCGAGGGGGTGAGCTCCAGTCTGGTGGAGGAGGCAGGCCCCAGACGCCCTCAGAGGGCGACAGTCTGATGGCAGAGGCATGCCTGCGATCTGCAGGAGGCTCTAGTCTAGTCTCATACTCATCCAAGTGTCCCCAGGCAGGGCGCGGGGCAGGCAAAACTGCCCCCCTCGATCGAGAACCACTGTCCTAGACAGACGAGGGAGGCATGCTCCCCATCTTCAGGGAACTCCTAGTCTAATGGGAGGCCCGTCCCAGCCACTCATCCAGGGGGAGTTCCAAGTCTGAGAGGGGAGGCATCGCACACCGTTAGAGACCTAATCCGTGGAGAAGCCGCCCTGTCATTCTCAGGGAGATCCTGACCTGGTGGCCGAGGAAGAATTCGATGCAAACCCAGGAGGAGCTCCTACCCTGATGGGGAACACGGCCACACCTTGGGGGCCTCCGGTCTGATGGCAGAGGCCTTCCTCGCCCTAGGGCGTGATAGTCTGAAGAGTGAGGCACTGCCCTCCCCTGCCAGCGCCTCCTTTCTTGGGCCTCCTCGGTCCCCTCTGGCAGGCGGAATGAGCTGGGCAAGGGGCTTCCCCTCCCCGTCTTCGTGGTGAATCCTGGAATCAGGGAACTTCTACAGGAGGACACCACGGTTCCCCAGCCCTGGGACTTCCCTTTACTTGTCAGCCCAAGTCCAGGGCCTCACTGGGACTCAGACATGCCATCCCTGCAGATCCGAGCTCACCTATCACCCGGCCCCAAGACACCACCTGGTTATTTCCTGTCCCCAGGGCACCAGGCCCTGGGGGGGCTTTCCACGCCTGGCCTAGCCAATGTCCTACCCTGGGAGGGAGGAGTCCACCCTCAGAGGGCAAGGCCCTGCCCGAGGGAGCCACACAGCCGGTCAGCCTGACCCCAAGCCCTTGCTCCCTAGGGATGAGGGTGAGGATGACGAAGGCAGCCTTCACTCTGCCAGGCAACTGCACCAAAGGCTTTCTTGCCGGCTCACTGAATTTTCTCAGCCATCACGTTATTCTCACCTTCTGTGCCTGGAGGGGGAAACTGAGGCCCAGAGAAGATGAGAACGTGGCAGAGCCCATAGTCACAGTCTGTTTGTGTGACTCCAAAGTCTGTTGCCACAGGGCGGGTCTTCCAGAAAGCAGATGCTTGTAACGGAGTCGGGGGTGCAAAATGTTTCTGGGAGCAACAGCTCAGAAAGGAAGCGGGGGGCAGGGGGGGCAGAGGTGGCTGCGGTGCCGGCGCCACAGCAGAGCCCACAGTGGGCGAATCGGCCAGACCCTCCGGCCCCGGCTGGCCCAGTCACTGGCAGGAGGCTGCCCAGGAAGACCAGTCCTGCTGGGGAGCTGAGGGGGACCCCGAAGGAGCCTGGTGCCGGGGGCCATCAGCTCTCTGCACGCCTGCCAGCGGGGCCACAAGTCCCTTCTTGAAAGGGGGCCTGAGCCGCGTGCGTGTCTCTGTGCATTATTCATACTCCACATGAATAACAGCATGTAAAAATAACACCTCCCGTTTACCCAGAACTCAACCCGTGCCAGGCCTGCGCCGACGCGTGCTAATCCGCTTGGCTTGACTCTCAGGACAACCCCATGAGGCAATGCACTGCTTTCACCCCCATTTTACAGGTGAGGAAATGGGTGGCTCAGAGAGGCTAAATCACCTGCTCAGGGTCACACAGCTGGTAAGTGGCAGAGCAGGGATTCCAACCCAAACAATGAGACCGTGGACACTAAGGCCCAGTGTGACACCGTCCAACTGTCCGTGTCACCCCACTGGGACCCCTCCTGCCTTCCTTCATACGCCCCACCTTCCCAGACCCCCACCCACCCACCCAGGGCAGATGCCGATCTCCACATCCCCACCCCAGCACCCCTGGCTAAGCGAGGTGAGGGCTGGGGGCGAGGGTGCCCAGTCTCCCAGCCCTGCCAAGGGAGGATGTCGCAATTCTCTGACTCAGCGTCGTGCGTGCAGACCCAGGAGAGGGAGAAAGGGGAAGATTAAGTCTTGGCCTAGACCCCAAATAGGCGGATTCTGCTCCATGCCAAGAGTCCCAACAGCTGCCAAGGCCCCAGGGTGGGGAGGAACAAGGAGGTGCAGGCCATGCTCCAGGAAGCTGGCCTGCATTCACCCCTGGGGGCGGGGTGGGGCGGCCGCAAGGAGCAGAGCCCTGTGCAGGCTCGGTGGACTTCCAGCCCTGAGTCCAGACAGGAGGCTGCCTGACCTTGGGCAGGTCCCTCCCATTCTGGCTCAGAAACTCTGTTTTCCTCTGTCTGCAGAATTTACTTGCTCTCCCTGACCTCCCTGGAAGCTCTAGTGATTGCTCCTCCTCGAGAGACCCTTATGTCTAACTCGATTCTCTGCTGCTAAGAAGTGACCGTCTCTCCACCTCCTGGACCCCCACCCTGGACCAGGAGGCAGCAAAGGGGTGCTGCAGACTGTGGGTCCTGCTAATCTCCGAGGCTGCCCTTGGGCACATGACTTTCCCTCTCTATGCCTCAGTTTCCCCATGTAAACCATGCCTTCCCTGGAATTAGAAGTCTAGGATTATGGCTGGAAGGGCACACCTGTGGTCTCTGGGACTAATGACCACCCCTCCCAGGTCAGCAGGGTGCTGGGGTCACAGAGACCTGGCTTAAAATCTCAACTTCCCCCAGTTCCCTGCTGTGTCACCCGGGCAATGACTTCACTTCTCTGTGCCTGTTTCTTCCTCCACAAAATGAGAAGTTGAGTGGACTTCTCCTCACCAGGTGTTGAGAGGACTAAGTGGGCCAGTTATTAGTGGTAGCTCAGCCCAGAGTGAATGGCCCCATCTTGTCTCCTCTGAGGGTGGGACAGGGTGACAAGGAAGCCCTGGCCTGATGGGTAGGGTAAGGGTTAAAGCTGGTAGCGTGGAGATAGGAATGGACATCATTCATTCAATCCACACACTGGTCTCATTTAATCTGCTCAGTAATCCTGGGAGGCAGGAGCTATTATCACCCACAATTATAGAATCACAGCAAAGGCACAGAGAAGGAAAGCCACCTGCCCAAGGTCACACAGCTAGGCTCAACCGTTATGTTTCTAAGCCCAGCATATCTCTGAGCCCAGTATGTTGGATCCTATTGTCCCCAATGAAATGGGTCCTGCTATTATTTCACGATGATAATAATAATAACAATAATAATAGCAGTCACATTGCATTGAGCAGTGTGTATATATAAGCGTTATGGTACAGAAGCATATTTTCTTTTTTTGTTTGTTTGAGACAGAGTCTCACTCTGTCACCCGAGCGAGAGTGCAGTGGCATCACCATAGCTCACTGCGACCTCCCCAACTCCTGGGCTCAAGTGATCCTCCTGCCTCAGCCTCTAGAGCAGCTGGGACTACAGGTTTGTGCCACTATGTCCAGCTGATTTTTCTCTTTTTTCTAGAGACAAGGTCTTGCTATGTCGCTCGGACTGCAGGCATATTTTCCTGATGTGGTCCACTTTTAGATGAGGAAACTGAGGCTCCACAAGATTAAGTAACTGCCTAGAAGTCACAAAGGTGAGGAGCAGGCGACAGAACTTGCACCGAGGCCTCAGTTTGAAGCAAAGCAGGACAAGGAATTGAACCAGATGGGAACTTAGAGCCTGACCAGCCCTGCCCTACCCTCTCTTCTTAGAAGGGGAAATCGAGGTCCCAAGAACAAGAGAGCTGCCCTCGGCCCACACACTCCAAGCTGGGACTTCATTTCCCTCTCGGGATCTTCAGCAGGTAAGCTCTTGGCCCCTCCTCACCAGAAGGAGTTGAGGGAGAAGCAGCAGCAGGAGGGAGATCTGAACAGGCCCAAGGGTGACCTGCATGAGGGAAAGTGGTTAGACACCAAGCAGAACTTCCGGACCTTCTCTGGGAAGTCTCTGAGAGTCATCCAGGGGCTGCCCCTGCCGGTGAAGGGCCCTCCAAAGCTCAAGGGCCAGAGACGGAGACTAGCCCTCTTCAGTTGCGGGTGCAAGGAGCAAGGGGGAAAAGAGGGGGTGGCCATCCTGGTTCCGCATCCTCCATTCCCGACACTGGAGGGAGGCTGCTGTGGGAGCTGGGACTTTCCTGAGCGGCAGAAGGTTCTGGGAAATAGAGACAGCTGCAGGGCGGGGCTGACTCCCGGCCTCCCTTCCCTTCCCTCCCCCTGGTCCCTTCTGGCTTCCCAGGCATGCCTCTCTTCCCTCCCTTCCCCACGGAGGCCCTCTTCACACCGCTCCTCCTCCCTCAGACCATGGCCTCCACCCGCCGACCCTCTCCAGATCTCCTCTTCACTCAGACTCGCTTTTCCCCAACTCTCTCCTCCTCACTGTGTCCCTCTCAGACTTCCTCTGATGCTCTAGCCTCCCCTCAGACCCTCACCTCCTCTGTCAGACCCTGCCCACCTCCCCAACTCCTCTCCCCTCAGACCCTCACCTCCTCTGTCAGACCCTGCCCACCTCCCCAACTCCTCTCCCCTCAGACCCTCACCTCCTCTGTCACACCCTGCCCACCTCCCCAACTCCTCTCCCCTCAGACCCTCACCTCCTCTGTCACACCCTGCCTACCTCCCCAACTCCTCTCCCCTCAGACCCTCACCTCCTCTGTCACACCCTGCCCACCTCCCCAACTCCTCTCCCCTCAGACCCTCACCTCCTCTGTCACACCCTGCCCACCTCCCCAACTCCTCTCCCCTCAGACCCTCACCTCCTCTGTCACACCCTGCCCACCTCCCCAAGTCCTCTCCCCTCAGACCCTCACCTCCTCTGTCAGACCTTGCCCACCCCCCATTCCTCTTTCCTCAGACCTTCACCTTCTCTGTCAGACCCTGCCTGCCCCCCAATTCCTCTCTCCTCAGACCTTCACCTTCTCTGTCACACCCTGCCTGCCCCCCATTCCTCTCTCCTCAGACCCTCACGTTCTCAGTCACACCCTGCCTGCCCCCCCATTCCTCTCTTCTCACACCCTCACCTTCTCTGTCAGACCCTGCCTGCCCCCCAATTCCTGTCTCCTCAGACCCTCACCTTCTCTGTCAGACCCTGCCTGCCCCCCAATTCTTCTCTCCTCAGACCCTCCCCTCCTGTCAGATCCTGCCTGCCCCCCCCAATTCCTGTCTCCTCAAACCCTCACCTTCTCTGTCAGACCCTCACCTTCTCTGTCAGACCCTGCCTGCCCCCCCAATTCCTGTCTCCTCAGACCCTCACTTTCTCTGTCAGACCCTGCCTGCCCCCCCAATTCCTCTCTCCTCAGACCCTCACCTCCTCTGTCAGACCCTGCCTGCCCCCCCAATTCCTGTCTCCTCAGACCCTCACCTTCTCTGTCAGACCCTGCCTGGCTCCCCAATTCTCTCTCCTCACACCCTCACCTTCTCTGTCAGACCCTACCCACCACCCAATTCCTGTCTCCTCAGACCCTCCCCTCCTATCAAACCCTACCCAGCCCCCAATTCCTGTCTCCTCAGACCCTCACGTTCTCTGTCACACCCTGCCTGCCCCCCATTCCTCTCTCCTCAGACCCTCACCTTCTCTGTCAGACCCTGCCTGCCTCCACAATTCCTCTCTCCTCACACCCTCACCTTCTCTGTCAGACCCTGCCTGCCCTCCAATTGTTCTCTCCTCAGACCCTCCCCTCCTGTCAGATCCTGCCTGCCCCCCCAATTCCTCTCTCCTCAGACCTTCCCCTCCTATCAGACCCTACCTAGCCCCCAATTCCTGTCTCCTCAGACCCTCACCTTCTCTGTCAGACCCTGCCTGCCCCCCAATTCCTCTCTCCTCAGACCCTCACCTTCTCTGTCAGACCCTGCCTGCCCTCCAATTGTTCTCTCCTCAGACCCTCCCCTCCTGTCAGATCCTGCCTGCCCCCCCAATTCCTCTCTCCTCAGACCTTCCCCTCCTATCAGACCCTACCTAGCCCCCAATTCCTGTCTCCTCAGACCCTCACCTTCTCTGTCAGACCCTGCCTGCCCCCCAATTCCTCTCTCCTCAGACCCTCACCTTCTCTGTCAGACCCTGCCTGCCCCCCCAATTCCTGTCTCCTCAGACCCTCACCTTCTCTGTCAGACCCTGCCTGCCCCCCAATTCCTCTCTCGTTAGACCCTCCCTTCCTGTCAGACCCTGTCCACTCCCCCGATGCCTCTCTCCCGCCTTAAACAATCTGCTTCTCTCTCAGACCTGTCTTTCTTCCACAGATTCTTCTCCCTGAGGCCCTTTTAGCCTCACTGGTCCTCAGAGCACCCTCAGCCCCTCTCTCCCACCCTGCCAAGGGTGGGAGGGTCAAGCTGGGCCAAGGGCATCTGCTGGCCTCTCCAGTCCTGCAGGTTGGAAGCCATTGCACCACCTGAAGAGGGTGACAGGGAGTGGAAGGAACTTGGGTGTCCTCCCAACCCTACCTCTTAGGGTCGCCACCCTAAGCCCGGCCCCCTGAGCCTCAGCTTCCCTTTCTGTACAATGGAGTACAGGAGCTTGCTGCAGCCCCCACAACACTGGCAGGGAGGGGTTGGCATCGTCCCCATTTTCCAGAAAAACAAACTGAGTCTCAAGACAGGGGATGGCTTGTCTGGGGTCCCACAGGGAGCAAGGGGTGGAGGTGAGATTTGAACCCAGGTCTGTGCCCCAGATGTTCCACCATGTCAGGGCGCTAAGGGGAAGAGATCCGGGGAGAGAGACGGAAAAGAGAGAAGAGGGAAGGGGTGAGGCCTCTGCCCACAGCCGTTCCTCACATCCTGGGTTAACGATCCACCCAGGTGGGGCCCGAGTCCGGCCAAAGTCCCTTCCCGGGGACTGGGACCCCACACCCACGTTTAGGGTCCCAGAGAGGCGCTGCGGAGGACATGGGGACAGAGGGCGGGGTCGGAGACCGTGAGAGGCAGCTAGGGACGGAGTCGCAAAGACAGAGGGAGAGCCAGAGAATCGGGGAGGCTCCCCGCGCCCCTGGGCAGGTCCGGGTGCAGCCCCCTCGCCTCTGCCCCCCGTGTTCCCAAAGTCTCCTCCTCCGCCGCCGCCTCTGCCTAGGTGACCCGGACTCAACCCCGCCGGCGCCCCGCCCCCAGGGAAATCCGGGAAAGCCCCGCGCCTCCGGGGCCCCTCCCAGGGGCGGGGCCAGGGAGGGGCGGGGCGTTGGGCAGGCCCCGCCCCAGCCAGTCTGAGTCATGCCCCCAACCCGCCCGGCCTGTTCCCCACCGCCAGCCCCCCCCGCAGTGGGAGGGCAGAGGGGGGAGAAGGGGAGGGGCGCTGCTCCCCACATCCTGGCGCCCGGCCTCGGCCGCTGTGACTCCGGCCTCCTGGAGTGTCTGTGTCTCCCGCCGCCCCTGTCTCTCCTTCCCTTTGTCTACCAAGATCTCTGTGCCTGTCTCCATGTCTCTTTCCCTCTGAGCATCTAGGATTCCCCGCCCTGTGCCCCGCGGGCCCCGGCTGCGTGCAGGGACCCCGCGGGGAGACGCACGCTTTGGGGGTTGGGGGGCCCTCGCTCCCCAGCCCCCACCCCAGCCAGGGTGAGACCCTCAGCTGGCGAGGCACGTGGAGGAGGCAGAGGGCTAGGTCCTGGGCGCCTGCCGGGTGCTGGTCCCCGCCCGCGTGCGTCTATTTACTCCTACGAAGGAGGAAACGGCTCGGAGAGGGGAAGTGCCCGGCCAAGGTCACCCAGCGAGGAAGTGGGAGTCGGGATTCGAACCCTTGCCCTAGCGACTCCAAGGCCCCACGAGAGGCAGCGCGGCAGGCGGCAACCGAGAGACAGAGAGATGGCGAGAGACACGGAGACAGCAGAGAGATAAACAGGGACAGAACAGAGACAGGCCCGCGGAGACAGACGCGGGGGAAACGCGCGTTCAGACCGGAGAGTCGGACCGAGTTACAGGGTCTCCGAGACACACAGATCCGGAGACGCACAGACAGAAAATAAAAGACTGAGAGCACCGGCCTCGGCGGGGGACCCCAACCCCGCCCCTCCCCCGTCCCCCTCCCCTCCCCCGTCTCTGCCAAGGGAGGACATAGCCAGCTCCAATCCGGGAGCGAGCCCTCCCCGTCCCCGTCCCCGTCCCTCCCCCGGCGGGAGGCCGGAGGGGCGGGCGGGGCGGGCGGGGCGCGGGGCGGGCCGCACCGCCGGGCTGCCGAGCGGCGGCGGGTCCAGGAAACCCCTGGGGCGGAGGGTGGCCCCGGGGAGGCCGGGGGCGGGGAGGCGGGCGCCGGCACCGCCCCGGCCGACAAAAGTCCCTTCAGTTCAGCCGGCAGCAGGGGAAGTCCCGGCGCCCGGCGAAACCACCCTCCCGTGCAGCCGCGCCGAGCCGCTCCGGCCGCGCACTCGGCCGCCGTCCCCGGCGGCCCCATGCCCCGATGCCCCGCGGGGGCCATGGACGAGGGGCCCGTGGACCTGCGCACCCGGCCCAAGGCCGCCGGGCCCCCCGGTGCCGCGCTGCCGCTCCGCAAGCGCCCGCTGCGCGCGCCGTCCCCGGAGCCCGCCGCCCCCCGCAGCGCCGTGGGCCCCGTCGTCCCCCCGGACCCTCTGCGCGGCGGCTGCGAGGCGCTGGTGGTCCCCGGGCCCCCCCACGGCCTGGCCCGGCCAGAAGCGCTTTACTACCCGGGTGAGTGGCCCCCACAGGTCAGGGCGGGGGTGGGGGCCACACAGAGCATAGGGTCGCCAGAGCCAGGGGACAGCTCGGGACAAAAATTGGTGGGGTTCCCGGGAGCTGGGGACGGGAATAGAACCCGAGGTCCCAGGGAGCTGGAGGTCATGGGACCCCGGGGGGCAGGGTCGGGCTTCTTTGCAGCTTGCAATTCCGTGTCCCTAGGGTGCCAGGCTCTGACCCCTGATTCCCGGACACCCCATGTCTGTACCACTGGGCACTGTCCCCTGGTTCCACGTTATCTGTGCCACTGGTGTCCAGATAGGTGGAATCCAAAGGAGTGAGGGGAACGGAGACTGGGGTTCTAAAGAGACAGATAGTAGGGTCTCTGGGATGGCACGATCTCACAAACGAAGATATCTGGAGGCATGAGGAATTAGGAGAACAGAGTTGGGGTTCTCAGCACCCCAATATGTGGTATCACAAGGATCTAGGACACAAACCAGAGCTCCAGGGACCCAGATACCAGGGGTCCTGAGGAGCTAGGGGCACAGAGACCTGGGGTTCTAGGTACCCTGTTACCTGGGGTCACAAGGTCAGGTGGCCCTGAGGGGCTTGGGGACTGAGGATTCTAGGGATGGGGTAGGGCTGGGTAATTCCAGGACTCAGGGATTTGGAGCCTGGATGAGCGCTCCAGGGCTCTCTGGACCGAAGGCCTCAGGGCCCCAAGGCCTGGTACTGCAGATTCAGGGCCGGGAACACGGAGCTAAGTAAGGATCATCGGACCATGGAGAGGGACACCCACTATTCTCCCCATCCCATCTTCATCCCTGATCTCAGGGAAGGGGCATCCCCTACCACAGCTGTGGCCACCTCCCTGTCCCCAGTGGACCCCCAGAGCTACAGAGAGCCCCTCTCTAGTGCCCCAGATCTTTACCTAATTTCTGTGCCTTCACCCGTCCGCACAGCAGTTGGAGAGCCTCAAGCTGTGCATCAGGAGGCCTGCCACGGCCTCCCGGCTTTTCCTATTCCCTGAGTGAGAGCCCAGGCCTCAGTTTTCCCCATCTGTGTGATGGGTGCATATGGATTTGCCTGCTGCCATGGCCCCTTCCAACAGTTTGATCTGAACAGGTTTCTGGCACCACCCGCCCTGGCCCTCCCCTCTGCCCAAACCCACTGTCCATTCACTCACAGCCCACAGCCAGTTCATCCATCCCTTACCACCCTCAGCCGCAAATTCACTCCTCAGATGGGCCCTGGGGCCCCCCTGCCAGGCAATGAAGGGGTTCTGTCTGCCCTTAAGGGATGTACTGCTTGGTAGGAGATAGGGTCAGACATATAAAAAGATAAGTGACAATGAGGGTGACCAGGGCTGGGGGGAGAGGAAGCTTTGGAAGGAAGCTGGCCACTGCCCGAGGAAGGCCCAGAGGTGGGGAGCGGGTTGCAGTTCTGTGGGCTTGGGCTCACCTGTGTCCCTTCTCTGTCCCCTGTTGTCCAGGAGCTTTACTTCCCCTATACCCCACTCCAACCATGGGCTCCCCGTTTCCTCTGCTGAACCTGCCTACACCTCTGTACCCCATGATGTACTCCATGGAACACCCCCTGTCAGCGGACATCGCCATGGCCACCCATGCAGATGAGGACGGAGACACGTGAGTGACAATCCCCTATTACTGGGCGGTGGGGTGGGGTGAGGAGGTCAGCCCTCCACAACATGGGAGCACTCAGCTCAGGAGGACCCAAGTTAGAATCCTGTCTTCACTGTCAGCTATGTGACCTTGAGCAAGGCCCTTCCCCTCTCTGAGCCTCAGTTTCCTCCTCTGAAAAATGGGCGCCCTGAGAGCACTTACCTCCAAGGACTATTTTTGGAGCAGCAGCCTTCAACATTTTTATCACAATTCAAAAATAAGAAATACATTGCATTGATTGATTTACTATATATAGGAATTATACCTGCAAGGCTCCTAGCACTGGGCCTCATATAAGTGTTCATTTATATTATTATTACTTTTTATCTCAAACCCGGCACATACATACACACACACACACACACACACACACGCACGCACGCACATAATCTTTAAATAAAAAAAAATTACACAAAATGAGGCCAGGTGCAGTGGCTCATGCCTGTAACTCTAGCACTCTGGGAGGCTGAGGCAGGAGGATCGCCTGAGCTCAGGAGTTTGAGACCAGCCCAAGCAAGAGTGAGACCCCTACTCTACTAAAAATAGGAAAATTAGCCAGGTGTCTCGTGGTAGACGCCTGTAGTCCCAGCTACTGGGGAGGCTGAGGCAGGAGGATCGCTTGAGCCCAGGAGTTGGAGGTCGCAATGAGCTATTATGATGCCACTGCACTCTAGCTGGGGTAACAGAGTGAGACTGTCTCAAAAAAAGGAAACCAACCCCCCATCCTTACCACCCCTTTCATAAAAAAAAAAAAATTACACAAAATGAAACAATACCCTAACTTATGGGATCTACTTTGATATTTTCTATTCTAGTCTGCTTCATTGTTTCATGGTCTAGCACACAATTAATTTGACCACCCTGTAAATTGATTTTAAAACCCCCATGGGCACTCTGGGAGGCCGAGGTGGGAGGATCGCTTGAGCTCAGAAGTTCGAGACTAGCCTGAGCAAGAGTGAGACCCCCAGTCCTTAAAAAAAACAAACAAACAAAACAAAACAAAACAAAAACACCACAGTGTATCACCTGCAGTTTGAAGACCGTGTTCTTGAGGTTTCTGAGAATTTCTGCACAGCAGGGTGTAGCCCTGTGCCTAATAGCACAGAGTAAGCACTCAGTACAATTGATCATTGTCATTATTATTACTCTATCCACCTGGGTTTGAATCTCAGCTAGCCACTTTCTCTTCCCTCTGTGCCTCAGTTTCCCTGGCTGTAAAAACAGGAACCACAAGTGTGTGAGGGTGAGGGTCTTCTATGGGGAAGAAATGAGATGATTTATGTAAAGCGCTTCTGTGGGAATTGGTCTGGGGACTGGAAACCACAGGTAGACACGAACAGGCCCATTTCTGCAGAGAAGGGGGGGTGCGGGCCTCCACCAGTGGCCACAGAGTGACTTCAGGTCCCCGAGCCTTAGTTCCCTGTTTGGAAACCGGGTCTCATAATAGCACGGATCGCAATTAGGATTCAGTGCAATGGTGTACACACAAGGCAGAGTGCACAGAACAGGGCCGGGCAAACAGTCAGTGCTCAGTGCGTGGGAACGGGCGGTGTTCGAAGAGAGCTCTGGGGTGGTTTTGGCCATCGGTGGGAGCCCGAGCAGGAGAAAGTGCCCGAGATATTTAAAGGGCTAATGAAACCTAGTTCCCCTTGCCTGTGGGTGCGACCGGGCTCATCTGCGAAGCAGGTTGAATGAGCATCTGCCCCCGGGGTGAGCCGTCTGGGCCTGGGAACGCAGGACGCCTCCAGGCCCACCGGCCTCCAGGCCAGGCCCTCACCCCAGCCGCCCTCCTCCGCTCCCCCAACGCAAACACTTCTGCCTCAGCTGCCCGTCGGGGGAAATCCCTTCCCGCAGAGCTTGACCGCAGCCCAGCTGCTCTGCCTCCCCCACGTCAGCACCCGTCACTCACTCCAGCCTCCCCCCTCGCGGCGCTCCCTCCAACCTTAACCCCTTCCGCTGGGGCCGACGGCTTTACCGGAACGGGCAGCCGGCCCAGCCCCAGCCCCAGCCTGCGCCACCCGCCCGCCCGCTCCGCGCCGGCGGGGAGGGCAGGGGGGAGGACAGCGGGGGGCGCTAAGCCCGGGTCCCCAGAGAAACGAAGCTTGGGAGGCTAAGACTTGCAGCTCCTCACACGCCAGCGAGGGTCTCAGGACCCCCAGAGGTTGGGGACTGGGGCGCTGAACATCTCGGTCTCCAAGACACGGGGCGGGGGACGTGCTCACGTTCTGGGTCTCAGAGGGCACAGGTTGGGGGGGCTCTATTCCATGAGCCCCGAGGGGGTAAGGAACAAGATAAGGGGCAGTTTGGGGACCTGGTGCTCAGAGGGACTTTAGGGGCAGGACCAGCTACATAATCTGCAGGGCCCCTTGTTCGAAAATTAATGTCAAGGCTGCAGAAGGAAGAGAACATTCCATGGAGCACGGGCCCTGTGCAGCTGCAGTCACCCACGCGCCGCTGAAGCTGGCCGTGCCCCCGGGTCCCGGAAGTCCGCGACGCCAAAGGGACCAGGATGGGGGCACTGCATTCGGAGTCTCCAAGGGGGCCAGGAAGGGGGGGGCAACTTGGGAAACTAGAGCTCAGAGGAACTGGGGAAGTCATTATTCCTACTGAGGAGTTGGGGTACTGTATTTCTGGCTCCCGGGAGATCTTGGGGTGGATGCCCGGATATAGGGCACAGGGAGCCAGCTGGAGTCTGAGCCCTGAGGGGTGGGGTTCCAGGGGGGACCCCCAGGCCGGAGGACTCGGGATACTGCCCTCCCAGGGGAGACAAGTCTCCTTGGGAGGGGCTGCCCCTCCCCCGCCCCGTTCGAGGTTGGAGATCGGGGTGCCCAGGGTAGATCCCCGGCGGGACAGGCTTCCCTCCCCCGGGAGCAGGAAGCGGAGCCCCGCCCAGCAGACCTGTTACTGGAAGTCCGAGGGCTGGGCCGCCCCTCCCGTCCCCACTTCCTCCAGCCCCGCCCCACCCCCTGCGGCCCGCGCGTTTATGGGAACTCGGGCCTGGACGGTTTCTCTGAAATCGTTCGCTCCCTCTGCCCTCGCTTAACCCCGCCCGCCCCGAGAGGGACCCAGGTTGGGCGTCCTGGGAGATGGCGGAGAAAGTGGGGAGCCCTTCCCAGGGACCCCGGCCCGCGGCGGGCTCCAATCCCCCCAACATTTTCTTTTTAAATGTGGCTTTCACTGATTAGGATTCAGAATGAGGGGTTCGCGGGTGTAATCTCGTCCTGGCGTGTGGGCGCTGTTGAGGGCGCTGTACTTGACAGGGGAGGAAACTGAGGCTCCGAAAAGCCTCCTGACTTTGCCCTAGCACGCAGCTAGGGAGGGCTAACCAGTTTGCAACCCTGACCCCAAGGACTTCTGCACTTCCAACAGAGTCACCTGGGAAGTTAGTGAAAACTGTGGATTCTGGACGCACAGTCACAGCTGGGGGAGCCACTGTTTGGTGGCCTTAGCAAGGCCTGCTCAGTAAGAGGCAGGTCATGGGTGACAAAGTAGTTGCTCTAGTACAAGGACTTTTTAAAAAGGTCATGCTGCCTGTGTACATGCAGTCAACCTCGTACCTTCAGCTCTGTCCCCACCCCGTGCAAACACTCGCTTGCACAGACGCACACGCACACGCACGTGCTCTAAATAAAGGGCTGATCCAGCTTGGGGTCCCTGCGAAGTGAGCAGGAAGTTCACTGGGGAGTGGTTTGGGATCAACACCTGTGTGTGGGGCGAAGCAGGTCTGGGCAGAGGGAGAGGTTGAGTTCTCAGCTGCATGGTCTCAGCAGGGCCTCAGCCATTCCATAGGGCATGTTGAGGCTGGGGTGGCCTTTAGGGTTGGGACTGGGAGGCCAGGCCTGCTAAGCTGGCATGGACAAGTCACCGGATGCCGCTGGATGGCAGCTGCCTCCCATGCCCAGGGGGTGTGACCTTAGGCAAGCAGCTCTCTTCAGCGGAGGGTAATTCCCAGGTTGTCTAAAAGCTGACGCCCTTCCCTGAAGCCCGGGGAATGAGTCCTTCAGTCTGCAGCCCAGTGTCCAGAACAGATGACCCCATCCCACTTTGTCCCCGCCTCCCTTGTACTCAGAGCTTTTGCTCCACATAGACAGTCAGCCCTTCTTCCTTCAGTCTCTTGGGCTTGGAGGCGGAACCTGATATACAGTCACAACTGGCAGAGACTTTGTGGCATGTAGTTCATCCCCACTCATTTCACAGATGAGAAAACCGTGGCCCGGGGAGGGGTGGAATGTGGCTGCCAGCTTCAAGGATGGCCGGGTGGTCACTGAGAAGGCTCAGCACATGTTCCCATCGGGCACCGTCCTGGGCACGAGGCAGTCAACCGAGCAAGCCACACACCTGCACTGCTGGCTCTGTGGCAGGGAGATTCAGACAGGAAACAAGTAAACTGTGCAGTGCGTCAGGCGAGGATGTGGAGGAAAATAAAGCAGGGGAGGGAGAGAGAGCAGCTGCCAAAGCACCTTAGCAGTGGCCTGGAGGAGGGGGACAGAGCTCTGCAGATGTCTGGGGAACACTGTCCCAGGCAGAGGGGACAGCGGGTACAGCGGCCCTGGGAGGTGAGCGTGCTTGGTATGTTTGAGGAACGGAGCAAGGAGGCCCGTGTGGGAGGACAGTGCAAGGAGATGAGGCCGAAGGGGGTTGAAGAGGGAAAGACACGATCACATAGATCCTTGTGTCCCACGGGGAAGACGGGGCATGGTGTGACTTCTGACTTAGGTTCTAAAAGGGTCCCTCTGGCTGCTGTGTTCGGGACAGACAGGGCAGAGGTGGAAGCAGGGAGGCTTCCCGGAAGGGAAGGTACGAGTCCAAGAGGGAGCCAATGGTGGCTGAACCACGGCGGAGGGACTGGGGGTGGGGGGAAGGGGTTGGATTCTGGAGACCCTTCCAAAGTGGCCAACGCATATTGGAGTTAGCATTGCCAACAACAGCATGGGGTGAGAGGTGACCAGCCCCTAATGCCTGTGATTCATGCCCACCCCCAGGCCCCTCCATATTGCTGTGGTGCAGGGTAACCTGCCAGCTGTGCATCAGCTTGTCAACCTCTTCCAGCATGGGGGCCGGGACCTGGACATCTACAACAACCTCCGCCAGGTGAGGCTGGGGGCCGGGACTCCTGGGTTTGAGGGAGGAGGTGCCCCGGGTTTCCCTTCCTGGGTAAGACGGCAGCTGGGAGTTAGGACTCAGATCTGAGGGAAGCAGGGCAGGAAACGGGTCCCTCACAGTCACTGTCCCCCAGACACCGCTCCACCTGGCTGTGATCACCACGTTGCCGTCGGTGGTCCGGCTGCTGGTGATGGCTGGTGCCAGTCCCATGGCGCTGGACCGCCATGGCCAGACGGCCGCCCACCTGGCCTGCGAGCACCGCAGCCCGACCTGCCTGCGGGCCCTGCTGGACAGCGCGACCCCGGGCACGGTAGACCTGGAGGCCCGCAATTACGACGGTGAGCACCTGCCTGGGGGGGGGGCGCTGTCCAGCTGGGCCTGGAGTCCGTCTGGGGCTGCGAAGCCCAAGGCCCAGGGGTGACTGAGCCTCCCCCTCCCTCAGGGCTCACCGCCCTGCACTTGGCCGTGAACACGGAGTGCCAAGAAACAGTGCTGCTCCTGCTGGAGCGCGGCGCGGACGTGGACGCGGTGGTGAGCGAGCGGCGGGGCGGGAGGGGCGGGGCCTTTGGCTAAGGGGCGGGGCGAGGGCGGGGTCTCTGCGAGGGGCGGGGCTGGCGCGGGAGTGGCGGGTCGTGCACCGGGCACCCAACCCGAGAGCCGCTGGACCCGCCGATGGGATGCCGGCCGTTTGGCCTGGGCGAGACTCAGAGGCCTTCCCTTCCCGCCGCAGGACATTAAGAGCGGACGCTCCCCGCTCATCCACGCGGTGGAGAACAACAGCCTCGGCATGGTGCAGCTGCTGCTGCAGGTGGGTAGCCCGCCTCGGCCTCGCCCGCCGCTCTGACCCGACCCGGCCACCGCCCGCCACTGGCGCCCACCCCGTCCCAGGCTGGCTCCGGCTCTGGCCCCGCGGCCCGCTCCGGCCTTTCCTTCGCGGCCTCGGGCTCTCACTGGGACCTCGCTCCCCTCCCTGGCTGCGCCCTGGTCCTGGGCAGTCTCCTGTGCCTCCCAGTGGCCTGGGTCCTACGCTGCGGTGGCCTTGCTGACCCCGCCTGCCGGCTTGGCGCTGTCCCCGCGCCGTCCTTCCGCCCGCTCCATCCGCCGGGCCTGCCCAGACCCCGACCCTGCCCTTCTCGGACGCCGCGCCCTCGCGCCGGGCCGTGTCCGCGCTGGCGGATTCGGGGGACAGCCCAGGGACCCCGCTGTGGCCCTGGGTGGTAGCCCCCACCCGCGGCCCAGCCCCCCGCCTCTCCCCGCCTTGCCCCGCCGCGACCGGGCCGGGCGCCGCTGACCCGACTCCCGCCCGCAGCACGGCGCCAACGTGAACGCGCAGATGTACTCGGGCAGCTCCGCGCTGCACTCGGCGTCGGGCCGCGGGCTGCTCCCGCTCGTGCGCACGCTGGTCCGCAGCGGCGCCGACAGCGGCCTCAAGAACTGCCACAACGACACGCCGCTCATGGTGGCGCGCAGCCGCCGGGTGAGTGCGCCCGGGCCGGGCGGGCCGGGAGGGCCGTGACACGCGCGTGGCACCCGTGTATCGGCGGGCCTGTGTGCGGCCAAGTGCAGCCCTCCGCTGGGCGCTGACAGATGATCCCATGGGCAAGGAGGGATAGAGAGAGGGAGGGCTGTGAGGCAGGAGTGGCCTCGTGGTGACCATCTCGCCCCCCATCTTCCTACAGGTCATCGACATTCTGAGGGGGAAGGCCACTCGCCCTGCGTCCACATCCCAGCCAGACCCCTCCCCCGACCGCAGTGGCACCACCTCCCCAGAGAGCAACAGCCGCCTCAGCTCCAATGGTGAGAAACCAGCTCCCAACCTGCAGCCCCAGCCCTCCTCCCTCAGACCCAGGGGTCCAGCCCCAGCCCCTCCCCCCCAGACCCAGGGGTCCAGCCCCAGCCCCTCCCCACTCAGACCCAGGGGTGCAGCCCCAGCCCCTCCCCCCTCAGACCCAGGGGTCCGGCCCCAGCCCCTCCCCCCTCAGACCCAGGGGTCCAGCCCCAGCCCCTCCTCCCTCAGACCCAGGGGTCCAGCCCCAATCCCTCCCCCCTCAGACCCAGGGGTCCAGCCCCAGCCCCTCCTCCCTCAGACCCAGGGGTCCAGCCCCAGCCCCTCTTCCCCCAGACCCAGGGGTCCAGCCCCAGCCCCTCCTCTCTGAGTCAAGCCTCTCACTGTCCCCCTTCTCTGTCTCCCCTCCACAGGTCTCCTTTCTGCGTCACCATCCTCTTCACCCTCCCAATCTCCCCCCAAGGATCCTCCTGGATTCCCCATGGCTCCCCCCAATTACTTCCTTCCTCCCCCATCTCCACCTGCCTTCCTGCCCTTTGCTGGGGTCCTCCGAGGCCCTGGCCGGCCAGTGCCCCCCTCCCCAGCTCCAGGAGGCAGCTGAGAGGGATGGGGGGGCAGATCTCGGACTCATGAGGAGGGGCCTCCCTGCCCTGCGGGGTCAGCCCTTCTGGAAACTGTGAAGATCTCACTCTGCCCCCCCCCACCCGCCAGTCCTCAGGACCAGGATTTGCACAGAAGCACATGCACGTACCCACAAACCCGATCTCGTCCTCTGCCCGGGACCCTTACCCCATAACTCTCAGGCACCAGTCCCCTGTCTTGAATTTGTCCCTAATCTTCCTTTCCTTGTCCTCTCTCAGAGCTGGTGGAACCAGGGAACAGTTGTTCCCTCTGTCCTCTCCCCAGATGAGCAGGGACGGGGGGAGGTGGGCTGTAGGCTGGCACTGACGACAATGTAAATTATTAGGCGTTTTGGTTGGATTTCTTTTGTAATAAACTATTTTTGTACCATATCCCCTTCCATGAGGCGGTCTGGAAGAAGTGTGTTTGTGTGTGCACACACCCGTACGTCGTATCTGGCTGATGCCAGGTGTGACAACGTGACTCTGAGGCTGACAGTCACATGTGCGTGACTCTGGGACTTGCGGCCGTGTTTGGTTATGAATGTCGCCAGCATTGTGTCGCTGCGCCATTGTGTTTTCGGAGGATGTGGTGTGTGAGGTCTTCCCAGGGAGCCCTGTCGAAATCCAAAGTGGCCCCAGGGGTGGGTGTTTCCGAGGGGTTTGGTGCCGTGTGAGTCCCTGTGGTCACCCACAGCCCACTACAGTTCTGGCCGTCTCTGGGCGTCGTGTCACATGGCGTTCGTGAGTGTTCCTAACATGCGTGATCATCACGTGATTGTTTCTGTGCGACTGCCCCCTGTGGTGGCTCTGTGGGACCCTCCTGCGAGACGATGTCTGTGTCGTGACTCTGGGGTAACATTCAGGGTTTGGATTAGCTTCCTGTTGCCATGATACATCATCACACACACACAAAAAAAATCAGTGGCTGAAAACAAGACAAATTTATTCTCTGATAGTTCTGGAGATCAAAGCCCGAAATCGTCTCCCTGGGCTAAAGTCAAGGTGTGGGCACCCCAGGTTCCTCCCTGAGGCTGTAGGAGGAATCCATTTCCTTGCTTCTCCAGCTGCTAGGGGCCTCCCGCATTCCCTCCTCACCTCTGTGCTCGGATCTCCCGCCTCCCTCTTAGAAGGGCCCCTGTGATGACATTGGGCCCACAGAGGTAACCCGGGATCATCTCCCCGTCCCGAGGTCCTTGACTTCAACACATTTGCAGAGCCCCTTGTGCACGCAGACAACACTCACAGGCTCCAGTCCAGGGTCGGGCTGTAGACAGTAGCGCCTTTATTCACGCTACCGCCACCAAAGAAGCAACGCTATGGGAGGCGTCCGGGTAAGGGCTTTGGTGCAGGGATCTGACCTTCCATCCTAACAGGAAGCAGGATGGAAAGTGGGGAGGACAAAGAGGAGCAAGAACCCTGGAACCCTGGAGGCAGGACTGAAACCCGAGTCAGTCCCCACTCGCTCCAGCCTGGTCAAAGCCATGTCCTGCCAGAAAGGCTGGCGACCTCGGTCCCGTTCTGTGGTCTTCATGGGTGATCATGTGTTTGTGTTCTTCGCAGTGATGGCGAGTGTTGTTTCTTTATTCTGTGGAGGCCTCCCTCCCTGGGTCTTCCTACGAATTGGTGATTGTGAACATTTACGCACCATGAGTCCGTGAAGTGTTTGTAAGGCGGGGCCATCGGCCTCAACACCTTTCTGGTGACACTGTTGGGGTCCGTGGATGGCTTTGTGTGTGTGTGTGTGTGCGCGCGCGTGTGCACACTTCTGGATGAGCTCTCACTCGATGACTGTATGTGCCTGTCCCTCCTGACTGGGGGACCATGCCTCTTTGTGTTTACAACCACGAGTCACTGTTTTTGACCCCGCATCTGGACTCTGCTGTCCCTGAAGCTGCCAAACGTGGAGGGGATATCACTTTCCTGTTGCAGCCATAACAAATTGCCACAAACTAAGTGACTTAAAACAATCGAAATGTGTCCTCCCAGAGTGCTGGAGGCCAGAATCAAGGTGTCACCAGGGCCATGCTCCTCAAGAACTCCAAGAAAGGATCCTTTCTTGCCTCTTCCTGCTTCCGGTGGCTCCAGGTGTCCCTTGACTTGTAGCTGCATCTGCCCGATCTCTGCCCCTGTGACCGCGCGGCCTTCTCCCCTCTGCATGTCCATGTCTCCCTCTCTTCTGTCTCTTATAGCGACACTTGTCATTGGATTTATTTTGTTTATTTATTTATTTATTTTGAGACAGAGTCTCGCTTTGTTGCCCAGGCTAGAGTGAGTGCCGTGGCGTTAGCCTAGCTCACAGCAACCTCAAACTCCTGGGCTCAAGCAATCCTCCTGCCTCAGCCTCCCGAGTAGCTGGGACTACAGGCATGCGGCCACCCATGCCCGCTAATTTTTTCTAATATATTTTAGTGGCCAATTAATTTCTTTCTATTTATAGTAGAGAGCGGGGTCTTGCTCTTGCTCAGGGTGGTTTCGAACTCTGACCTCGAGCAATCCGCCCGCCTCGGCCTCCCAGAGTGCTAGGATTACAGGCGTGAGCCACAGCACCCCGCCTTGTCATTGGATTTAGAGCCCAACGAGATCATCTGGGAGGATCTCATCTCGAGATCCTTAGCTTACTAGCATCTGCAAAGACCTTTTTTCAAATAAAGTCACATTTCCAAGTTCTGGGGCTTAGAGCATGGACACTTATTTTGGAGGAGGAGAACACCATGCAGCCTGCTGCAGAGGGCGACTGTTGGTCTCTTCAAGCGGCCTCCTGGGAGAACATCCCACGTGATAATCTGCCTTGGTCCGACGTCACTGGGAACAACCGTGTCTCCAGCGGACACTGAGCTCTGGCCTCGCTCACCCCTGCCCTCCCTGCAGCGGCCAGCTCACTGCCTGACATGGAGCAGACCCTTGAGAAGTGGTGGCACCGTGAGTGAGCCCTCGCCCACACCGCCTTGTATCATGGTAGCTGTCATTCTTTGTGGCTGAGTCTGGTCCCCTGTCACACAGTGCGACCGATTTGAGGACGTGAACAGACACACAGATATTAGCAGCCGTTTACTGTCCACGATGCCCCATATTCCAGATGAGAAAACTGAGGCTCAGAGAGAGAGAGAGCAAGATCGCGCCTGTCCAAACCCAGATCTGCCACCTCTAAAGGCCACGTCATAATCTATAGGCTCTCTCACCTCGTGGCAAATTGCCTGTCTAGCATTCTAGGCATGCACACAAAGATGTGGCCATATGCGCACGGCTGTGCTACGCGGAAAGGAGACAGGACAACAGTGTGTCTGTGTCATTCATAGCACCAGACCCTGGAGTCAGAACTGAGTTGGAGTGCTGCACTTCAGTTTCCAGTATCCTGGCTGCTCGATATGGCCTTGTTCCAGTGACGTCATGTCCTGAGCGCCACTTTCCTCATCTGTAAAAATGAGGGGACAATAACAGTGTCCACCATTGCTCTGAGGATTAAACAGGAATGAATTATGTGCACTGCTTATTACAGACCATGGTGCTCAGTAAGAACTTGATTACTGGGAATTGCTGTTGTTATCATCTCAAAATTGATTTTGAGGGCAAAGAAAACAAAGTAGAAAATGATGGCACCCATTCTTTGTCCTGATGGAAAAATGGGACAATGAGATCCTAGCCTACTATGTGTATTAACTAGATTTTTTCATTCCACTGATGACCACTGAGGACATCAGAGACCCAGGCTCCTTCCACCTTGTTGCTCTGCTGTTCTTACCTCACACTTCCATCATGTGGTCCGAAAAGGCTGCTCCAGCTCCCACCATCACATCCACATTCCAATCATTGGGAAGAAGAAGAAAGAGTCAAGTGTGTGCACATACCCTTCCAGAAGGCATATGCATCATATCCTATTGGCTAGAATTTAGTCACATGGCCGCCACCTATCACAAGGGATGCTGGGAAGTGTAGTTTATCTGGGCACCATGTATCTAGCTAAAATTCAGAGGCTCCTTTACAAGAGGAAGAGTCGAGGATGGTTGCTGAGGAGCACCAGGTATATCTATGACAACCAGGGCTCTGCCACCAAATGACTACGTGACCCTTATGAAGTGACTTCACCACTCTGAGCCTCAGTAAAATGTAAATAACCTCCCAGCATTCAGGGTTGATGAGTTGGTGAAGATTTAATGAGAGGGTGTCAGCCACTTAGCACAGAACGCGGCCCATCACCAGCCTGGGGTGTTGTTGGGAGTCTTCTCAACAGTCCAGTCTGCGGGTCTAGGCTGTGGTCACTGTTTTTCTTTGTGTGAGAAAATTGTCCCCAGGTTCAAGAGTTGAACCCAGCGCTGACCTTGGTAAGTTACTTCTCTAAAACGAAGGATCCGTCTTGTCCACACGTGGAAATCCCCCTCAGCATACCAGACCTTGGACCGGGCACGTGTCCTTCCACACTCTTCCCCCTTTCTCTGACAGGCAGGCTCCAGGGAGAGGCAGGGGTCTCTACATGGGATCGCCAGTCCCCCCCCCCGGCCCCTCACAGAATAAAGCACTCGCCCCTCAGCCACCAAGACACATCGTGGGTGACAGCCCTAGCTTTCTAGTCCTAGCGTGGCAGCTCTAGCACCAGAAAGCGATACTATCGATGATTTCCTGTGGGGCCCGGCGGCCCCGTTGCAAAGTTTCACTTGTTCTCACCACCCCAGGTAAACCCAGAGAGTCAGAGAACATCTCTTCCAGATGCATGTGCAAAATCTGCCAAATCTTAAGTGTTGGTGACTTTCCAAAGAGCAAGAGTGTGAGAGCTAAACAGAACCTCGACTCTGTAGGTATGTTTGCAGACCACCCTTGTGTAGGCCAAACCTCCATTTCACAGAAAGGGAAACTGAGACCAGGGAGGGAAGAGACTGATTGGTGAGTTTATAAGTCCAGGATTCCATAATCCACCATAACCAACTGATTAAGTGCATCAGCCATTAATGGGTCAACCAATATCACGTGCCTCTCAGTATAATGC